TTAAGGAAATCAGTCAATTTAAATAAATTCATTAGGCCCTAATCTATGGATTTCACATGACTGGGAATACAGATATGCATCGGTTGGTCACATATACCTTTAAAAAAAGGGTAGGGGCGTGGATGAGAAAACCAGTCAGTATCTGATGTGACCACCATTTGCCTCATGCAGCACGACACATCTCCTTCGCATAGAGTTGATCAGGCTATTGATTGTGGCCTGTGGAATGTTGTCCCACTCCTCTTCAATGTCTGTGCGAAGTTGCTGGATATTGGTGGGAACTGGAACACGCTGTCGTACACATCGATCCAGAGCATCCCAAACACGCTCAATGGGTGACATGTCTGGTGAGTATGCAGGCCATGGCAGAACTGGGACATTTTCAGCTTCCAGGACTTGTGTACAGATCCTTGCGACATGGGGCCATGCATTATCATGCTGAAACATGAGGTGATGGCGGCGGATGAATGGCACAACAATGCGCCTCAGGATCTCGTCACAGTATCTCTGTGCATTCAAATTGCCATCGATAAAATGTAATTATGTTCGTTGTCCGTAGATTATGCCTGCCCATACCATAACCCCACCACCACCATGGGGCACTCTGTTCACAACGTTAACATCAGTAAACCGCTCGCCCACACGATGCCATACACGTGGTCTGCGGTTGTGAGGCCGGTTGGACGTACTGCCAAATTCTCTAAAACGACATTGCTTATGGTAGAGAAATTAACATTTACTACTCTGGCAACAGATCTGGTGGACATTCCTGCAGTCAGCATATCAATTGCACACTCCCTCAAAACTTGAGACATCTGTGGCATTGTGTTGTGTGACAAAACTGCACAATTTAGTGGCCTTTTACTGTCCCCAGCACATGATCATGCTGTTTAATCAGCTTCATGATATGCCACACCTGTCAGGTGGATGGATTATCTTGGCAAAGGAGAAATGCTCACTAACAGGGATGTAAACAAATGTATTAAAAATAAAAAACAGAAATACCTTATTTACATAAGCATTCAGACCCTTTGCTATGAGACTCGATATTGAGCTCAGGTGCATCCTGTTTCCATTGATCAACCTTGAGATGTTTCTACAACTTGATTGGAGTCCACCTGTGTTAAATTCAATTGATTGGACATGATATGGAAAAGCACACACCTGTCTATATAAGGTCCCACAGTTGACAGTGCATGTCAGAGAAAAAACCAAGCCATGAGGTCGAAGGAATTGTCCGTAGAGCGCAGAAACAGGATTGTGTCGAGGCACAGATCTGGGGAAGGGTACCAAAAAATGTCTGCAGCATTGAAGGTCCCCAAGAACACAGTGGCCTCCATCATTCTTAAATGGAAGAAGTTTGGAACCACGAATACTCTTCCTAGAGCTGGCCACCTGGCCAAACTGAGCAATTGGGGGAGAGGGCCTTGGACAGGGAGGTGACCAAGAACGCAATGGTTCGTCTGACAGAGCCCCAGAATTCCTCTGTGGAGATGGGAGAACCTTCCAGAATGACAACCATCTCTGTAGCACTCCACCAATCAGACCTTTATGGTAGAGTGGCAAGACGGAAGCCACTCCTCAGTAAAAGGCACATGACAGCCCGCTTGGAGTTTGCCAAAAGGAACCTAAAAGACCATGAGAAACAAGATTCTCTAGTCTGATGAAACCAAGATGGAACTCTTTGGCCTGAAGGCCAAGTGTCGCATCTGGAGGAATCCTTGCACCATCCCTACGGTGAAGCATGGTGGTGGCAGCATCATGCTGTGGGGATGTTTTTCAGTGGCAGGGACTGGGAGACAAGTCAGGATCGAGGGAAAGATGAACAGAGCGGGAAAGATGAAGTACAGAGAGATCCTTGATGAAAACCTGCTCCAGAGCGCTCAGGACCTCAGACTGGGGCGAAGGTTCACCTTCCAACAGGACAATAACTCTAAGCACACAGCCATGACAACGCAGGAGTGGCTTTGGGACAAGTCTCTGAATGTCCTTGAGTGGCCCAGCCAGAGCCCGGACTTGAACCCGATTGAACATCTCTGGAGACCTGAAAAAAGCTCTGCAGCGACGCTCCCCATCCAACCTGACAGAGCTTGAGAGGATCTGCAGAAAAGAATGTGGGAAACTCCCCAAATACAGGTGTGCCAAGCTTGTAGCGTCATACCCAAGAAGACTCGAGGCTGTAATCACTGCCAAAGGCGCTTCAACAAAGTAATGAGTAAAGGGTCTTAATACTTATGTGATATTTCAGTTTATAAATTTGCACACATTTCTAAATATCTGTTTTTGCTTTGTCATTATGGGGTATTGTGTGTAGATTGATGAGAAAAAACAATTTAATCAATTTTAGAATAATGCTGTAACGTAACAAAATGTGGAGAAAGTCAACGGGTCTGAATACTTTCGAATGCACTGTACTCTCTGTTCCTAACACTAAAACTGAAACTAAATAATATAAAAACGAAATATAAATATTTTTATACAACTAAAACTAAATAAAACTAGCAAATCAGGTCTGAAATCTACCTGAAACTAAACTGATTTTCAAATAAAAATAAAGACTAATAGAAATAAAAACAACAACAAAAACACAAAACTATAATAACCCTGAACGGTAGTGAACTTTGATACAGTTTGTCAGCTATGTATGTTACCTCTCCTTTCCTGCCTGAGGAAACCTTTCCCTACAGTCCAAGGTTACTAGAGCTCACCGAATTCAGCCCTCTAATAGCAGGCATTACACTTTTTCTATTAGGTTACATTTACATCAATTCATATTTCTAGCTGTATCTTTCCTTTGCATATAGGTTTTGCATTACATTAGTATTATATTGCATAACAGTTGGGTTCCCCCCCACCCCCCCCATATTGATTTGTAGAATAGTGCAGATTGTGTACAATTAAGTATTTCGTCATATAACAGGATTTAAATAAAAAATACATGACTATACATTGACAAACAATTAAACATTTTATTTATCTACAAAGAAATGCATATTCAAAATAGTTAATTATTCATGTCCACCTACTGAATCCACCATCCTTTCAACTGCCAAAACATACTACTATTATAACCACATTCTTATTATTTACCCAGGCAGAATTAAAGGCTGTTTTCCTCACTCTCTCTACCCTTCTTTCCCAGTTTGTTATTATACAGGCCATGGTTGTTACATCCCAATTATCTCTCCTTTCTTCTTAAGTGTGCACTCGTTCACCACTTCCCACAAATATAAAGAGTTTCCATATGCCAGACATTTCCATTCAAATCCATGAACAGGTGCACACTTAGGGAGAAAGGAGAGATTATTGGGACGCACCTAATGTTCTAACATAATTTAGAGAGGCTGCAGTAGCGGGATATGAGATATGACCTGGGATCTGTCTCAAAAGTATTTATTGGATTCCTCAAGTGTCTCATTAATTCCTTGATGAATCTCCTCTTTTTTTTTTACGCATTGGAAGAGAAAATGTAAGCTTCCTCCCCTCAGACCTTCTCCTCCAATGCATTTTGAGAAAGAATCGATGAATCAAGGACGCAAGGAATCAAGGAAATACTTTTGAGATTCACTCCAGTAACCATAACAACAGAAGGGATAGCAGTCCTTGGAAAGGCAGTTCTAAAGGCAGTGCTGTAAGACGCTCACTGGCATCAGGCTATAGGAGCGTACATATACTCTCATTGCTCTGACATCCATAGAATATATTAGACTGTTGGTTTTTCTGAGTAAATATGTAAAATATAATCATAAGTCAGATTCAAGTATTGCAGGTTTAAAGCAACAAAGCCAAGTAATCTTTCAAACACATTACGTAGCATCACTGAGCAAAATCGTTAAGTTATGTTTACCCCACACTAGGCTAAATCAATCAATTTCAAGTAGTGCACTAGTTTCCTCAAATACCCCTCAGACTTTATATGTTGCTAGGCCATATATTAAACAAAAAAGTAAAATTATGAGACAATTCCTAATAAAGCAACGACATGATAAGACTGCTTCAACCTATCCCCTTACTCTTTAAGAGTAAATATTTCACAGTAGTCACGGCCTAAAGGCTAACTAATTAAACGCTGATGCTATATGATGCTTGAAGTCTTTCCAAATGGGTGAATGCAGGGGAATCCATTCTGATATTGATGTGGCTCATCCTTGATAACAGAAATACCTATTCTGTTCCATTCAGCAATATGGTTCCCAGTTCCCTTTGGCCAACTAGTTGTAACACTTAAATTAGTAGAGTAACTAATAACTAAAAATGAACAGTTCAAATAATCCAGTTCAAATGTGTAGATAAGAGAACTGATCACAGCTATTGACCCATGTCTGTCAAAAAGGCACTAACAGATCGACAACTGACACTATTGATAGAACTATTAAGACACATTCAACTGAAATGCTGGTGGGGTGGTGAGGGGTGTTGCTTCCGGAAGGTGTAGGGCTGTAGTCTTATTTGGCATAAAGAAGATCACATCCATATTCTCTCGTCTCATTCCACTCCTGTTGTGGACCCTAAAGGATAGCCATCCAGGTGGAGGACAGTGCAGCTGTCCACAGACTGACCTCTATGACACGCCACAGCATCAGTGGTCTCTCACTGGTCAGTCATCGTCACTTTCACTGCCAGACTCACTTAACTGCAGGTCATTCTCTGTAAAAAGGGAAGTACGAACATCGTATTGTTAGATACTACTGCACTGTTGGAGCATTTCACTACACCCGCAATAACATCTGCTAAATGTGACAAATAAAATGTGATTTCATCATAAAACCATCATCAACCATGTCACAATTCTAGCCTGATGGAGTTTGGCATAGGCCTAACTTGTTCAGTATAGCCTACATCCACAGCAATGCAAATATACATTCTGATCTGGCAATGCAAATATAAAATGGTTCGATTTAACATTAAAGTATTCAGATTATACTCTAAATACTGAAGGGAGGGAGGGAAGGGAGAGAAAGAGAGCGAGAGAAAGAAAAAGAAAGAGTAATGAACTTACTTAGTGTGCTCATGAGGTGTCCTCCACCCCGAGGTGGTGAGGGTGGGGAGGAGGTGGTGGTGGTGGTAACGGTGGTGAGGATGGGCATGCCCTGGTGGGGTGGTGGCCCTGTGGGGGGAGGGGGGGGGCAGGACTCGTCCTCAGAACCACTACTACTAGAGCTGTCCCCACTACTGGAAGATGAGGAGCTGTGGGAGTCTGAGGACGAGTCCCCACTACTCATCTGGTCCATGACCTTTGCCTCCGCCATTAGCTCTGTAGCGCACAGACACACACCAACGACAGACACACAAACACATGCACACAGACAGGAAGACACACAGACAGACACAAAAACAGTGACTGACGTTACCCCTGACCTTGAATCACAACACAATTCCAGAAGATTTACAAACATAGCAATTGTTCAATTTATATGACCATGGACTCTAGATGGTTTGAGAGAAGGAGAGCTATTACACGTGACACTCTACCAGGGCTCTAAAGTGCAACCAATATGATAGCATATGCAACAAAATATTTTGCTGTGCAACCAGGAGTTTAATTTTGGGAGCACTGTGCGACTAGGAAAAAAAGTCTCCCAGATAATCATTGTTGTAATGATGAGGCTTCACTGTACCGTTGTTTCCAAATGCCCTGGAGAAAAAAGTGAATGCAGATTCAATAGCGTTATGGTTGCATTATTACTACTACGAAAACGACTTGCTTCTAGCCCAACCAGGTCAAAAGACCCGACCCATATTATACAAACATTCTGGGGCACAGAAAGAAAGGGAAAGGGATATCTTCTTCAGGAGATCAATGATCACAGCAATGACTGAATGACTGATCTCTTGCATGTCTTCATCACAAACCTGACCTTTTTAAAGAGACAGTGTACAATTTTCAATGTAATGCATCTCAATAGGAAAATAGTGAATTTTAGCTTTTATAATAAACTAATTTCTTTACAGTGTTACATATTAGTTTCTAGGGCACAACGCACTTCAACAGTTGCCAGATTTAATATAAGCCCAATATAGGCTGTATCTCAATCAATTTTTACAAAAAATCTTATTTTCTGGTGTTCCTAAATTTCATGTGGTGCTCCTAACATTAAGTTGGGAGTAGAGGTCTGCGCAGGAATGATTTATTCATCTCGTTCCCGCCCGCAAGCTTTCTGTCCAACTCCCATCTCCTACCGCAAGAACTTGTCCCGAACCCAACCGCAGTCCCGCAATGTTATTTTAGGCATATTAGACGCAGCTCACTTGCTAGCCATGGTCTCAGCAGTTATGCGCCCTATAGGCCATATCAAAATGTGCAAAAATAACCCAAAAAATACGTTAAATTACCAGAGATTACACGTGGCCCATTATATTAGGCTATCTGTATTATTGGGCTAGATCAGCCAATAGGCTAGACGTAGTTTGGAGAGAGCAGAGTTGGAGAGACTTGCACTTTCTCTTGAGCTACGTTTTATAGCCTACCTTTTAGGAGAGGGACGATTTTCAGACTGAGACAAATATGGGTGATCAATATTTATTTTGAGGCAATGTAGTAAACTATAGCCTAATCATATTTAGGAAGTACATTTCCTTGGAAAGATAACTGCCCTGTGCTTCTCTGTCCTACTCTATTTAATGGAGACCACACGCACACCTGATTTCACACATATGGCTACTGAACATGAAGCAACAAGAATGATGACAGTTACACTTGCACTTTCTGTTGAGATACGTTTTGCATATAGAATATAGCCAACCTTTTAGGAGGATGATTTGCAGGCAGAGACAAATAAATAGGTAATCAATATTTTTTGAAAATGAAAAGGCACAACGCTCGCTCACACCATGGTAACTTACGCACACATTGCACCTTTTCAATGACGATCTAATTTTTTGATTGTGCCTCGACTCACGTTGGTTGAGCGCCCTCCACTTTTCCATTATCAATCTTTATTTAGGCCTACTGACACTGTAGTAAACTATAGTCTAATCATATTTAATTTCCTTGGAAAGATAACTGCCGCCCATGCATAGGCAGCCTACACTATTTCATTGAGACCACACATACTGTATACTAGGCACTTGATCTCGCACGCCCAACTAGGAGAGCAGAGGTAGGCTACGAAACTTGAAGCAGCTACCTGTGTGTGAATAATGCGATAAAGATGTGCTTTTAATACAATAGGTCCTATAAATAAATAAATAAATAATCAGCGGGACAACAAAATGTTTTCATCCCAGAGTAGTCAGTCTGACCGCCCGCTCCCAACCGCAGCATGAAAGGGCCGACCGCGCCGCAATGATCTCTGTCGGGACCCGCAGGTCCCGCGGGAATGCAGCACTCTAGTTGTGAGCACCAGTGCTACCAAATAAAGTTTTTAATTTAGAGCCCTGTGCGTTACTGATGGTCTACATACCTCTCTCAATGTCATCCATGGGGGAGGCAGGGGACATCTTCTCTTTGGGAGGAGAGCTCTTGGAGCCTGCTGGGGTCTTGCTACTGCTGCCAACACTAGTCTTCATCTGCTGGCTCAGACGACTGGTCTGCTGCTCTATACGAGACTGGATCTTACTGCTGCCTTCAGCCCTGACAACATACACACACAACTGAGTTTATAGCTCCTAACTACATAAGTAACACAAATCAGAATGACAAGTGAATCTGGACAGCACAGGTAACCAGGGAAACAGAAGGAAGCTGTTCAAAATGGGGAGTTACTGTCCATTAAGAAATTATAATTTTCCATTGCACAAATGTTTTGCTACAGTGTGCCCAAATAAACACGAGTCGACCCTTGTCTGTCCACCCACCTGGTCTTCTTGACTGCAATGTTGCTGTTGAGTTTCTCCAGACGGTACTCTCCTGTATCATGGTTTACAATGAGAATACATTCCTTCATATAAGGCCTCTTGGATCCTTTGAAGACTGTTACAGGGGCAGTGGATCCCTGGGGAAAATCAAGGAAATACGTTAATTTCTGGATATCAAGAGTAAAAGGGGGGGGGAAACAATAAATATGTGCACTTTTCAGTAATCAACTGTAAGATACATGATAATGCTACATTCTTACCTCCAGGTTGGGCAGTGTTATGGTAACTTGTTCTCCTTTTCCGACCTCCAGCTCTCCCTCACAGGCGGTGTCAATGGAGGCTGGTTTGAAGTCATCTGGATCAAAGAGATAAGAGAACAGTATAAATTCCAAACTACTGAATTACACAGCAAAATTATAAAGGCAGACTGTAGGCTCCACACAAAAACATCCTTGGTTTGGTTAATTCTGACAGAATGAAGTTTCAGTTACCACTGTTCACCAACAGATGATGCCACAAGGCCACTATTGTTGCTAACAAACTGCATACCAGAAGCAAGTGTTGCTAGCCAAAGGTGCAATCAAAAGTACGAAAATGTGATGTGTTTAAACTAAGGACTCTAGGTGGATCACTGTTAATAAAGCGACAGCGACTTAGAAAAACTATTTCATTTAAAACTAATATTTTGGGGGTTTAGCTAGCTACCTATCCATTGGCATACGTTAGCAAGAGCTAGCTAGCAAGTATGATCAAAATGCCACTTACATCGCACCGTGTGGTAAGCACCTTTGGGTTGTTTCTCAAATGTTTCGCCTAATTTCAAAACATGTTCTTGATTGTCAAAGTTTGAGTATGTTGTTCCATTCATATTCTAATCAAAGTTTTCAATCATATGTTACCAACAGTAAACTTGCCACGTCCATTCGACACCATCTATGGCAGAACTAGTCAACTCACCTCGAGAGCTAAGTTCTGCCCTTCCTTCGTTGTGATTGGTCAGACTGATCTAGTTGCTTTTTCTGATTCGTTTAAATACATGTCAATCAATATTTGGAGCATTTCAGGCGGAAGTTGCTTCAGTGCTAATGTCACATGACATGGGTTGCTTTAAAAAAAAAAAACGTGCTGAGAATTTCTTCATCATAACTATAGAAGTGTTTTATATTTACGGAGCGTCTACATGACAACTTCACACAGAACAGAGCGTCTATGGCCGGCTCCAAAGGAGCGATGGGCCTGTAAGTAGCCAAACAACCAAACACAGGCAGCCAAACACCATTTTCAAGTCTTGGGCTAGCCTATATAAAGCAACAAATAGCCCAGGCCAGTATGTCATTCTTTTTTTCATTTTTAAGAAGGACAATCTAACAACCCTGCCATTTTTTATATATATATATTTTTTTATATAACAGCATTAGGCCTATGTTTGCATTGTTGAATGAAAATAGAATAAGTGATTCTCAAGACAACAAGAGACAGCTTGATACAGTAGCCTGGTAGGCCAATACACTGAACAGGTGGTCTAAGTAATGAATTAGTAACAGTAGTTTGCTAGTCTCTAAAAACCTGCTATGGTGATGGGCTCTTCCCCCTAAAGCTGGTGAAATAAGCTATTTTCCTTCCCTAACCTGAATCCTAATCCTTCGATGCCTGCTGTGTCTACTTTTGCTGTGTCTGTACAAGCCATATGTACCCCCTTCAAACAGTAGGCTAGGGTAGAGGATGTAAATTTAGAGAAAGAGAATGTGAAGATTATGCTTGTCGGGACGATAATGACAACATTGGTATGAAAAATGTATGCACTCACTAACTGTAAGTCGCTCTGGATAAGAGCGTCTGCTAAATGACTAAAATGTAAAATGTAACTGTATATCCAGTATCAATTGCCCCAATTAGAGAAAGGTTGGAGTGCCAATCCCATCTGCTTCGTCTGGACACTGTTGTTGGAAAATTAGGTCAAGTGTGGTGTGTTACTGTAAATGACAACCCGAGAGAGAGAGAATGAGGGAGGGAACGAGGGAGAGAGAAGGAGGGAGGGAACGAGGGAGGGAGAGAGAAGGAGGGAGGGAACGAGAGAGAGGAGGAGGGAGGGGAACGAGGGAGAGAGAAGGAGGGAGGGAACGAGGGAGAGAGGAGGGAGGGAACGAGGGAGAGAGAAGGAGGGAGGGAACGAGGGAGAGAGAAGAAGGGAGGGAACGAGGGAGAGAGAAGGAGGGAGGGAGAAAGGGTAAAATAATGAACGAGAAAAGAAGAGGGATAAAAGGCCTATAGAGATATAATGGTAGGGTGGTGGAGAACAGGAAAACATAAATGAGGGAAGGGACAGAGATAAATCATTTTCTCATTTATAGGACAAACGTGTACAGTACAGTATACTTCGGGGTGGCAGGTAGCCTTGCAGGTTTGAGTGTTGGGCCAGTAACCGAAAAGTCGCTAGTTTTAATCCCTAGCCGACAAAGTGAAAAATCTGTCGATGTGCCCTTGAGCAAGGCACTTAACCCTAATTGCTCCAGGGTCGCTGTTGATAATGGTAGACCCTGGCCATGACCCCACTCTCCGACGGTGTCTCAGGGAGAGTTGGGATTTGCACAAAGCACATTTCCAATGCACACATGCGTATTAATGCACACTTGTTCGTGTGAAACAGGACACATATAAGCACCCACTTTTTGTAGACCCAACCAGAAACTAGGCATAGGCCAACTGCAACTTTACCATAGCAGTGTATGGTATCCATGAGGAGAGAGCCCCATCCATGTGAAAGGAAAGCAGTAGGGGTTCTGTCAGCATGAACGGAGCGAGACAAAGGCAATTATATGATGATATCAGTTGCCAGGGGTTTCCCTTGAACTGTGGAAGGTTGAGTTTACCCGTCTACAAGCAACTCTACTAGAGCTGGGACGATAAACCGAACATTATAGACACTGACCATGCCGATCACATATCGCAGGCATTTTGCTGATATCGTTCATTACGATAAGTAGCCTATACTAGAGAAATGTGAAGTTTTAAATGAAATAAGTTTACTAATATGGGTGATCGTTAATGGGACAACTGATGGCTATAACCATCAAACTAGTAGTAGTAGTTTAAAGGATAATAAATAATAACACTGTGGTGCACATGCTTGTTATAAACGTATTGTTCTATTTATCTCTGTAGCTCAGCTGGTAGAGCACGGCGCTTGTAACGCCAGGGTAGTGGGTTCGATCCCCGGGACCACCCATACACATAAAAAAAAATTATGCACGCATGACTGTAAGTCGCTTTGGATAAAAGCGTCCGCTAAATGGCTTATTATTATCATTATCGCATAAATTCAAGAAATGTATCGCGATATGGATTTTTGTCCATATCACCCAGCTCTATGTTCAACTTTTCATAATGGTATTGCCTATTGGTGGGCCACAAATAATGTTCCCCAATGTGAAATAAGTTAACAGCCAGGCAGGGAGAGAGAGAATACCCCATGCCCCCTTCTTCACTATAGGATTTAGTGTCAGGCTGTGTAACAGGATATTGCAGGCTGAATGGCCACTATACACTAAGATATGTCCATTCTGGATCAGGTTTCATCTACTATTGTGAGCTGAATGGAGCGTTAACCTGCCTATAGGCCCCATGGCAATAGTGTCAGTGTGATAAATGAAACAGAACAACAACACAATGTAACAGTGTGATAAATGTGCATTACACATTTTCTAATTGTCACTGGACATTATCTTCACATAGATTTTGGGATGCTTGGGTAGCCTATGAGCCTCAGCCTACCTATGCAAAATGCCCCCTCAAATAACATGTATTTATTTCCGTCAAATGCATGTCTTTTTGGTTACAAATGTAGGCCTATAGCCTCTATGTTCTGCTCTTTTGGTTTCTGAGAGGGGGCCAAGGGGGCACACACCACCACACTTGAATAAAGCTTTTTTCATTCTGTCCAATCAACATTAGAGAAAGGCTTGTCCAGTTTCTAAGGAGACTTCAGGGCCGGCTCAAGGCATAAGCAACATAAGCAGTCGCTTAGGGCCCCCGGCCGCTAGCGGGCCTCCATCCCAAAAATGTATAACCATAAAAAATGTTTTTAAATAGAAACTCAGTTGGGGTCTCAACTTACTGTTGAGAATACACAAGATGCAATTTTCTAAATATGGTTGTGCATCAGCATTTTTTATCTTGTTATGTCAGTCACTGATAGTCACTCAATTAGCCCATGTCAGCTAACATTTTTTAGATTGCTAAATTAGCCTAGTGGCCAGCTATCTAAACGTATTAATCATCTACGAATTACCGTCCGGGGGGGCCCCCATTGATTTTGTTAGTCAATCTCACTCAGATATCATATTAAAAACTGCAAACATTTCTCTCCACCCTATGGCAAAATTTGTAGAATTGCCGGAAATTAGCTGTAAAACTGCAACATTTTCTCTATGCCCCATGGCAAACTGTGTAACATTGCACAAAATGTACTCTGAAAAATAAAACATTTCTCTCCGCTGTCAAGAGAGGGGCTGCTAAAATGTTTTGCTCGCAGTGTGGTGGTGAAGGGTATGCACATGTGGGTACACAGACCTATAGTTTAAATTTAAAATTAAAATTTTAGTCATTTAGCAGACGCTCTTATCCAGAGCGACTTACAGTTAGTGAATACATTTTTTTTTTAAATACTGGCCCCCCGTGGGAATCGAACCCACAACCCTGCCGTTGCAAACGCCATGCTCTATCAACTGAGCTACATCCCTGCCGGCCATTCCCTCCTCTACCCTGGACGACGCTGGGCCAATTGTGCGCCGCCCATGAGTCTCCCGGTCGCGGCATAGTTGAAGTCGGAAGTTTACATACACCTTAGCCAAATACATTTAAACTCAGTTTTTCACAATTCCTGACATTTAATCCTAGTAAAAATTCCCTGTTTTAGGTCAGTTAGGATCACCACTTTATTTTAAGAATGTGAAATGTCAGAATAATAGTAGAGAGAATGATTTATTTCAGCTATTATTTCTTTCATCACATTCCCAGTGGGTCAGAAGTTTACATACACTCAATTAGTATTTGGTAGCATTGTCTTTAAATTGTTTAACTTGGGTCAAACGTTTTGGGTAGCCTTCCACAAGCTTCCCACAATAAGTTGGGTGAATTTTGGCCCATTCCTCCTGACAGAGCTGGTGTAACTGAGTCAGGTTTGTAGGCCTCCTTGCTCGCACACGCTTTTTCAGTTCTGCCAACACATTTTCTATAGGATAGAGGTCAGGGCTTTGTGATGGCCACTCCAATACCTTGACTTTGTGGTCCTTAAGCCATTTTGCCACAACTTTGGAAGTATTCTTGGAGTCATTGTCCATTTGGAAGACCCATTTGCGACCAAGCTTTAACTTCCTGACTGATGTCTTGAGATGTTGCTTCAATATATCCACATAATTGTCCTTCCTCATGATGCCATCTATTTTGTGAAGTGCACCAGTCCCTCCTGCAGCAAAGCACCCCCACAACATGCTGCTGCCACCCCCCGTGCTTCACGGTTGGGATGGTGTTCTTCAGCTTGCAAGCTGCCCCCCTTTTCCTCCAAACATAACGATGGTCATTATGGCCAAACAGTTCTATTTTTGTTTCATCAGACCAGAGGACATTTCTCCAAAAAGTACGATCTTGTCCCCATATGCAGTTGCACATTAGAGGCTGCTGCTGCCTATTGAAATCACTGGCCACTTTAAGAAATTGAACACTAGTCACTTTAATCATGTTTACATATCTTGCACTACTCATCTCATATGTATATACTGCATTCTATTATATAATATTCTTCTGTATCTTAGTCCATGCTGCTCTGTCATTGCTTGTCCATATATGTATATATTCTTAAATCCCATTCCT